TGCCAATTGAGGGATTACAAAGCCCAGCAGCCCCAGCCAGTCAGCCCTCTAATGCTATCATCCTCGGTTTACAAAGATTTGCTCAACAGCCTCTCTTGAGCCGCTCTGAAGCTCTGGGGAAAAAAATACCTTGGCATATTTAGACATTTAGGGAGAGAGGAAGTGGACGTCAGAAAAACGAGGTTAACTTTTTTTGAAACTCCCTCTAAGTCTGTGTTTCCTAACCGTGGCCCTTTTAAGAAATTGGACTTCAACTCCCAGAATTCTGGGAGTTAAAGTCCACCCACCGTTGACGGAGATTATTAAAATTGGAAGGTCAGGACATGCAGACTGGATGGCATACCATGTTATGAGATGAGAAACATAAAGTTCACCAGTACTTCCGGAGGCACTACATCAGACGCCAGGCATTAATAGATGTGTGGACCAAAATCCGGCAACAGAATTATAGACAAGTTCCCAATTGGATTTCAACATTAGAAATGTATATACACCCAAGGTTTATCCAGTTAGGGAATGTGATAACTTATAAAAACATATTAGACGAGAGAGGAGGATTAAAATCAAGGAAACATCTTCAAGATGCAAGGATGGAATTAGAATGGTGGGCATGCCTCCAATGACAAGCAAGATATAGGAAAGACAAAAAAGAGTGGGGTATAAAAATAGAACCAACAGAACTAGACAAAATATTATTAGGGCCCAAGGATAAAATGATTAAAAAAATATATCCCTTTCTTTTAGATCAGGCAATGTATGAAGATCAGGTCAAGGAGATTATGCTGATTTTGGATTCAGTATCGATCTGAATATTTGGCAAGAATTGTGGGAAAGAAATAGGAAACTCACTCTAACTACTTCGTACAAGGAAAATCTCTACAAGATGTTTTATAGATGGCACTTCCCACTCGTAAGGCTAGCCAAAATGGGTCCAAATATCTCACCTTTATGCTGGAAACGTAAAACAGCAATAGGATCATATTACCATATGTGGTGGGAATGCCCAAAGGCTTGTGAGTATTGGAATAGGATACGAAGATGGCTGAAAGATATATTAATGTTGGACTTAGAGTTAAAACCTGAACTTTTCCTGTTGGGAATAACCATGGAGAAATACAATAAGAGAACAATCTATTTGCTGTTACACGTCTTGACTGCAGCTAGGCTAGTGTTCACGCAAAAATGGAAGAGCAAAGGAATTCCCACAGAGGAAGAGACACTATGTAAAATATTACAATGTGCGGAAATGGACAGGCTTGCAATGGTATTGAAAGACAAATGTAGATCAGTTTATTTCGAAACCTGGGATAAATTTTACTGCTGGAGGGATTCAAGGAGGACGGTTGGGATTATAGGCTAGTGTTAAGATAGAAATATATGTAATTTTAGAATAAGTATTGTATATAAAATTTAGATGCATATTCAGAGATGAAGAACCGATGGTAAAATGTGGAATAATTTGATAAGAATGTATATACCGGAATGTCATGTTATATCCAATGTTTTTTTTAATTGTATTATAAATAAAATTTTGTAAAAAAAAAAAAAAAAAGGCCACGGTTGAGAAACTCTGTTTTAAGCTTGGATCTCTTTTGTTAATTATCATTACCATCCCAAAAATTGCTTTCACAATCATTGGAAGCCTAAAACTAAGTTTGGTTTTGCCACATTCCTGATTCTCTTCGATACTCGGAACGCTTGCTAGCACTACTGCATGGCGTTCCCTCCTGGTTGCATTCAGACAACCCTCTTAACCTGGTTAGTAAAGTCACCCGTTTCTTCTGGGCAAAAGCTACAGACTCCACAATACGCACAGGCCATTCCAGTAAACAAAGTTCCAGCAGAAGGCTTTAGCGCCGATTAACCCAGCAGACCAAACGCACAGGCTGTTCCTCAAACAAACCAGGATGAATTAACCCAGGTTAATAAATTAACTAGCTAGGTCTTGACCTGGTCTTATGAAATGTGCTAGGTCAAGCTAAGCTTTAAGTTAATCATTTGAGATTGGTTGTTTTTCGCACAGGAGGAAAAACAAATAACCGGAGATTACGCCTTTCGGATTCAGCGCTATTCTGGATTTTCACCCACTGCCCCTTTTCGAAAAAAAAGCAAAAACAAAAAAAGGAACAATGAAGCGGAAACGATTATGATTAAAAGAAAAAATGATGTCACTATCGGTTCTCTGAAATTTGAAAGGGAAAAAACAATAACAAAACATACCGATCTTTGGATGCTTTCCTTCCTAAAACGCTGAGGACTAGAAGGATGGTGGGCGTTTTAAAACTCAAAACTTTCCCAACTCTTGGGAAACCGGGCTAGAAATTCAACCCTGCCTTGGTTTGAATCTTGCCGGGCCGGGCTGCAGCCTGTCAAAAAATAATATACATTTTTTCCCTTTCCTCTCCTGCTGTGCCAAGATCATCCTAGATCGCTGTCAGCAGATCCCTCAGACTTGATCTCCCAGAAGGGAAGACCCCTCCCTTCTCTTTTTGAATCCCCTCTTCCCTCAACTCAATTTGTCCCCTCTCGACAAATCCCTGGACGGCCAAATTCTCTAGGATGGATGCCAAGCCAACCTCGAGAATTGGCTATTGCAAAAAAATAAAAATAAAAATGGGGGTGGTTGAAGAGAAAAGGAAAACAAAATATTTGGGGGTGGGGGAGAAGAGGAAAAATTATGCAAGGGGGTCCTAGAACGGGGCAGCACCCCGAATCAAGCCGTGTTGGTTTTTCTGTCGGCCATCTCAGCGTCGTGCCAAGCAGGCATGCATCCTGGGCATTTGCTGTTGGCTGACTTTAATCCTAAATCTTGGGGTGTTCTCTCCAACACTGCTCCCCCCTCCTCAAAAAACTTTCCGGGGTGCCCTCCCCACCTTCACTCACCCCTCGCCACGGCTGTTCCTCCACCCGGCGTCTCGACAGGAACCCAAATCAATGACACCTAAATGCTGTGGCACAGCAACAGCCCGGCTCTCTTACCACCTCAAAACCGGGCAACGCCCACACCCCCGGTTATGCAGCACCGTTCCCACGTTCCCGCCCCTCTGCCCCCCCCTCTTTTTAACCCTTTCACCCTCCCCAGGCAGAACAAAACCCCTCCTGCCCCCAGCGCCACCGGTAAAAGCCCCTCACTGTGGGCGAAGGGGGAAGGGGGTCAGCAACTTAGGAAAAGGGCTTCCAAATCTACCCTGTTAAAACGCCTTTTTGACCATTTCAACACACCCTGTTTGAGCTTCACCCATGCTGGAATAGGATAGAATATAGAATATAAAATAGAATAGAATAGAATAGAATAGAATAGAATAGAATAGAATAGAATAGAATAGAATAGAATAGAATAGAATAGAATAGAATAATAATAGGAATAGAATAGAATAGAATAGAATAGAATAGAATAGAATGCAGAACAGAATAGAATAGAATGCAGAACAGAATAGAATAGAATGCAGAACAGAATAGAATAGAAATAAAAATAAAAATAGAAATAAGAATAAAATAGAATAGAACAGAATAGAATAGAGAAATGAAGACTAGACTAGACTGGAATAAGAGTTGGAAGGGACCTCAAAGGTCATCTAGTCCAACTCCCTGCTCAGACAGGAAAGCCTATACCATATTGGACAAATGGCTGTCCAGCCTCCTCTTAAAAACCTCCAGTGTTGGAGCACTCACAACTTTGTCAGTCCCTTTTTTCAATGTCACTGAACGGTCACTGAAGGAGTGATTGTCAGTCTAGGAATAAGCATGCTGCAAATCTAGATCTTCCTGTTTGGAGGAGGGGGTGTGTGAAGCACTTTAGATATGCTCAGAGGGTATCATGGTCTGGACTTAACCATGACATCAGGATAAATCAAGCCAATTTTAAAGCAAATTTGATATAAACTTTGATTGATTTCAGCTAAGAAGGGGGAGGGACAGGTAGAAAATTCCTGCCCCCCCGCAATCCGATACCGGACACACCCCGAGACAGGATTTTATCTCCGGATCTTCCACAGCACCCCTGGAACAAGCGTGCTTCGAAGATATCTCTGATCCATTGCATATCAAAATAATTTCTGTTCCTGCATTGGCAATGCCATAGGGAAATAGTCCAGCGGAGAAGAGGCCTCTGAGCATGTGGCAAGTGCTTTCCCCACCCCTCGCATGGGGGACGCAGAAACCCAACTGTCGGAGCACCAATTCGTATTTCAAGACGTGCCGTCTAAGCGGCATTATCCATATATATGAGGTTTTCGTGCTCCTCGAAGCACGAAGCTGAAAACACCAGCCTGAAGATGACAAATGGGACTTCGTCGAAACATCGCCAAGACACTTCCAATTTTACACGGGAGAAAACCCGAATAACCAAAGACCTATACACACACACACACACACACACACACACACACACACACACACACATACATATATTGCAAGATTGGAAACTTATGCGGATTTTTTTGCAGAAAGAAGATAAAACTGTCAAGCGTGATTTGAACTGGGGATCTCAAAATGAGATTAAAAGGCTGGGGAAAAGAGGGAAGGGAGGGAGGGAGGGAAAGGATAGAAGGAAGAAGACTAAATAGGGAAAGACGGAAAAAAGGAAGGAGGGAGGGAGGGAAGGAAGGAAAGAAGGGAGGGAGGGAAAGGAGGATGGAAAGAAGGAAGAATAGAGAAGGAAGGAAAGAAGAAGGGAGGAAGGGAGGGAAAGAAGGACAGAATGAAGGAAGAATAAATAGGGAAGGAAGGAAGGAAGGGAAAGGACGGAAAAAAGGAAGAATAGGAAAAGGAAGGAAGAGAGGGAAGGAGGGATAAATATGGAAGGAAGGAAGGAAGGAAAGGAAGGAAGGAAGGAAGGAAAGGAAGGAAGGACGGACGGACGGACGGAAGGAAGGAAGGAAGGAAGGAAGGGGGAAGGCAGAGAAAGAGAGGAAAGGAAGAATCCACCCCTTTTTTTTTTCATTTCTCCTTTTCTCTCTCTCTCTCTCTCTCTCTCTCTCTCTCTCTCTCTCTCTCTTTACCTTTGTTTCAAGCCCCTGAAAAATTCAAAAGGGATCTTTCAAACAGGGCTCGGCTTTCCCAGAATTCTCAGCCCCCGCTGGGCCTGCTGCATTCTGGGAGCTGAAGTCGTTGCCAGCCCTCCTGCCCCAGCAGCGGCATCAAAGGGGAGCTGGGCGCCCGGGGAGATCTCCTGGGATCAAAAGGGCTGGTGAAGCGAGCGCCGCTCCTGGAACCAGCAGGATGAGGAAAGACAAGGAAACCGGCTGCCAATTTGACGAAATTCCTTTGCCGCGCACGGCCCATTTCTCTCAGCCAGATCCTGGCATTTATCGGGGCAGGGCGGAGGGCGGCTTGTCACAGCCTGCCCGGCGAAGCAGCCCGACTCGAGTGACAGGCTACAAATGCCAGCTTGACTCACTTTCTCGAGTGGCCCAACCAGAACAGGCATCCTGGCAATTTGGCTTTGAAGGCTGGAAAGGGAAAATAATAATAATAATAATAATAATTTAAAAAATGGGATGATTGCAGGCAGTCCTCGCCTTACGAACGCGATGGAGGCCAAAGATTCCATTGCTAAGTGAGACAGAGGCTCCGTTTTGCCCCGTTTTAGGACTTTCCTTACACAGTCACACATAATAATAACAATAACAACAACAACAACAATAATAAAGTTGGAAGGTTCAGTGAATCGCTTCAGTTAGCAACACGGTCATTAAATGAACCTGGGTTCCCCATTTGCTGGTCAGCAGGTCGCAAACGGGGGTCACGTGACCCCTCCGGGAGGCTGCAACCGTCGTAAATATGAGTCGGTTTGCCAAGCGTCTCAATTTTGATCACGTGACCATGAGGGAACGCTCCAATGGTCGTAAGTGTGAAAAACAGTCGAAAGTCACTTTTTTCAGGGCCGTTGTAAATTGGAACGGTCAGTAAAAGAACTGTTGTAAGTTGAGGACTGTTGACTGACTCATATTTACGACGGCTGTGGTGTCCTGCGATCCCCTTTTGCAGCCTTCTGACCCGGGAAACTCTTCGGGAAAGTCAGATTCACTTAACACAACCCTGTTACTGACTTAACAACAGATTCTGTCGCAAGAAAGGTCGTAAAACGGGGGCGAAACCCTCCAAACAACCGTCTCGCTTAGTGACAGAAATGTCGGAGTCAATTGCTCACGTTGGTTCCGCTTTCGATGGAAAACGAAAAAAAAAGGAAATTTAAAGGAAGAAAAAAAAGATTATACAAGCTGCGTGGAGGAGAGAGTGGAAGGGAGGACGAGAAACGGTGGAACGAGAAAGCAGAAAAATAAAAGAGGGAAATGGAGCTAAACTTCGCTAGAAAACGGCGGGTGGAAAAAAGGGGAACCAAGGAAGGGGGGGTCAGTTTCCGGAGGACAGCGATTGTGTCACTTTCCCACCCCTTTCGCAGCAAGAGGAGCGGCGGTTGTCAACAACAACACAACTGGCTGAAAACAGAGCCACAAAGTTTCCTAGGCACAAATTTGCAAACACATTCCCCCCCCCCCTTTTTCCTATTCAGTTTTCTTCAAACTGAGTTCGAATCTCGCCCGGTGCCCAAAAATCTCCAGGCTGGGCCCCAAAAAGTTATTTCCCAATTCTCCATGCACCCGGAAATCCTCTCTGCCTACACTGCAGGGCTATGGTTCCTTAGAAAGGATGCCCAATGTGGATTCAGTGGATTGGCCACTTATTACAAGTTTAAAAGATTTGTTGCCAAGCACTTAGCATTTGGGGGATAGTCTGCTCCTGACTCTGGAGGCTCCGCTGAGCCAAGCCCAGCACTCTTCTCTCCTCTGGCAAAGTGGCCCAGATTTGCTTATGGAGATCAAGGTAGGTAGGGAAGGAAGGAAGGAAGGAAGGAAGGAAGGAAGGAAGGAAGGAAGGAAGGAAGGAAGGAAGGAAGGAATAGATAAACAGATGGAATAAAGGAAGGAAGGAATATATAGATACAGAGGGAAGAAGGAATAGATAAACAGATGGAGACAAAAGTAAGGAAGGAAATAGACAGGTGGAATGGATGGATGGATAGATGGATGGACGAATAGATGGACAGATAGACTGAAGGAAGGGAAGGGGAGGAGGGTTAGAAAGAAAAGGACAACGGTGGGGTAGATAGATAGATAGATAGATAGATAGATAGATAGATAGATAGATAGATAGATAGATAGATAGATAGATAGATAGGCAGTCAGTCAGTCAGGCAGGCAGGCAGGCAGGCAAGCATAAGGAAGGAAGGAGGAAGGAAGGAAAGGAAAGAGAGAAAGGAAGGAAACAAGAAAAAAAGAAACAAAATAATAAATAAAGGAAGAAAGAAACAGAGAGAGAGAGCTAAATAGACAGAAAAGACAGACAGGTGAGATAGATAGGTGATAGATAGATAGATAGATAGATAGATAGATAGATAGATAGATAGATAGATAGATAGATAGATAGATAGATAGGCAGGTGGAAGGAAGGAAGGGAAGGGAAGCGAGAAAATAAGGAAAGAAACAAGAAAGAAAGAAAGAAAGAAAGAAAGAAAGAAAGAAAGAAGAAAAAAGAAAAAAGAAAGAAAAAAATAAAGAAAGAAAGAAAGAAAGAGAGAGACAGAGAGTGAGAGAAAGAAGGAAGGAAAGAGAAAGAGGGCAAGAGAAGCAGCAGTTCTCTGTCCTTCCACCCAGTGCGCTCCCCCCCCAGCTGTCCCCCCCCCCCGAAGCTTCGCAACAGGCGCTGCTTCCTGGCATCCAGGTGCTCCGGCCGAGTGATAAGGTGGGCGAGCCGGGCACGGAGGAAAACAAGACTTGGCAGGGCGTGGAGGGCTGGGATCAGGGACGCTGGGGCTGCAACGCATGGGGGGGGGGTGCGCGTGAGGGGGTGTGTGGAGAAGGCCAGTGACTCAGCCTGGGCGGGGGCATCTCCTGCAGGCACTTTCTGTTGCAAACCCAAGCTATTATTATCCTTGGCTTTTGCAAACTCTCAGCCCGAAAGAGAGAGAGAGAGAAAACAGGACTCAGTGGCCAGGAAGCGAGAGCTAGCCAGAGCATGCGCAGAGTTCTGGAAACCCCAGAGGGAGACCTGAAAGCCTGGTCTTGTCTCGGGAGAGGCATCCAAGGGGGAGGTTGCAATGGTTAGGGCTCCGGACTGAAGACCCCTCCCCCATACCAATGCATAGCCCCTCCCATCCCCAGAAGGGTGCTCTCCCCCCTCCCCAACTTCTGGGGAACTCCCCACTTCCTGCCTGAAATAGTGACTAAGTGGAGATTGTCCCTCTTTTTACGCCCACCACATCCCCCATGTCACCTCTATAGGGTGAGGGTTCCCTTCTGGCCTCGTTGTAGAAACATTTGGGGAAAAAAACTTCCTGGAGCCGATAATCAGCACTATAGGCAGATTGAGTCAGTGAGCCAAGCTGCATCCAGGGTCAAATAGAGGGGGAAAAAAAAAAAAACAAAGCAGGCAGCTGCTGGCAAAAGAGTGGGTTAGAGACCCAGCTAGATTTGCAGACTAGAAAGAGGAAGCTAGCCAGGTATTGTGGTGGACTACAGCTGCCATCATCCTCGGTTTGGAATCATGGGAGCTGTAAGACTTCCAAGTCCGGGAAAAGGGATATTGTAATTCAAGTGAATAATCCAGCCCCAAATATCTGAGTCAGTCTTAAACGTGAGACACAAGTCACTGGCATGTTTCTGCTTGGTCCTACCTTGCAGGGGTGTGGTGAGGCCAGAAATGAAATGGGACCCCCCACTAGGCACATGTTTCCAGCCTCCAACAGTCTCCCCTCTTTCCCAACACAGCCACAGCTTTTAGCCCCGTATCTCTGCATGCAACCTTCAGCCCAGAGAGTAATCTTACAACAACCTTGTAAGGCGGGACAGAATTGTTCCGGAAGAAGTGAGGTCGCATGGAAGGATGGTAGTGACAATGAAAACTCTCTCGAGGGGTTTGCAAAGCGCCTTAGGAGAAAACGGAATGAAAAATGAATGAAAAGAACGTTGGCTAAAATAATATTCTAGGAAAGGGGTTGGAAAAATTTGAGCAATCAGCAAAACTTCCCACAATGTTAAGAGGCAGGAATGTTTCCCATGCACATGTTCCTGTCTTTTTACGCCAGCCTTTTATAACCTGGGGCACCTTTAAGAGGCTCCACTTCAACTCCCAGAATTCCCTGTCGAGAACCCATCCCTTTCGATTTGTTATTCCCATGGCGTCCCTGCTTATTCTCTTGTAATCCCTTTCTCCGCAATCCCTATCTCTGCAATCTCTCCATTCTAGAGAGCGGGAGGAAAAAAAAAAACCCCAAAACAACCACGGCTGGCTGGAGAATTCTGGGAACTGAAGTCCAGACCTCTTACAGTGCCCAACATCGACAAACATAGTCTATACACCGTTCCTAAAGAGGCGAGAAAATCCACAAACTAAATCAGGGGCTCAAAAAGCTTGTAGTTCGGCACACTCCTCCCTGGTTCTGCCCAGAAGGCCAGGCTGAACTTTTTATCCCCCGGGTCCTCGCCGAAAGACGGCAAAGTGTTGGCGAGGGGGAAGAGAAAGAAAGAGAGAGAGAGAGAAAGAGAGAGAGAGAGAGAGAGAGAGAGAGAGAGAGAGAGAGAGAGAGAGAGAGAGAGAGAGAGAGAGAGAGAGAGAGAGAAATGGATAGAAAATTATCCAGGGTGGGACCTCATCCCTCAGGGCAGCTGAGTGGGGTTGGTCGGTTGAGTGGGCGTGAATTGGGAGCAACAATGCAACAGGTTGGGCTGTGTACGAGGGGGAGTGTTTGTGTGCAAGAGAGGCTGGATGGCCTTCAAATCCAGGTCTCTCCAAAGCTGTTGGATTCCAGCTCCCATCGTCCCCAGCTAAGATGTCACCAAAGGGTCCTTTAGCTGCACATCCTTATTCTCTTTTTGGGGGGGGGGATGGAGTACCAATAGCCTAGGTGGGTGGGTGGGTGGGTGGGTGGGTGGGTGGATAGATAGGTAGATAGATAGATAGATAGATAGATAGATAGATAGATAGATAGATAGATAGATAGATAGATAGTAGATAGGTGGATGGATAGAAGATAGATAGCTAGAAAGAAGATAGATAGATAATAGATATCCTTCCAACTTTATTATATTATAGATGATAGATAGATAGATAGATAGATAGATAGATAGATAGATAGATAGATAGATAGATAGATAAAAAAAGGCAGAGAATGGCTCTCAACATGATCAAGCCATAAACAAGATTGTTTCTGAGCACGCACAGAGTTCTTTTCTTGAATAGGGTCGGGGTGAAAGGGCAGAAGGGAAACAGTGCTAATAAAACTGAAGACCCTTCCCCACCCATTCACTTTTAAAGCACGCATGCTGCCAACAGGTTTTTTTTTTCAAAATATCTAAAAAAAATCTCTCAGCAAGTCTGCATCTCAATTTTATTTCTCTTTTTTCCCCCTTTTCTAATGTTTTTTTTTTTCTTTTTAAAAGATCTACGAATCTTTCCCGCCAGGTCAGCATCGCCATTTTTCTCCTTTTTTCTTTTTCTTTTTTTTAATGTTTTTAGTCTCTTTTGAAAAATCTAGAAATCTTCCTTCAAGCCCCCATTGTAGTATTTCTCCTTCGGAGGGGGGGGTCTCTCTCAAAGAAAAGACCCCCTCGGGGAACAACACCCCGAAAAATCCTTCCTTGAAATCCTGAGCTCTAAATCATACACATCTTTTTAGGGATTTTTGACCCCAGCGTGCAACCTTCAGCAGGTGGGCGAGCAGCAGTGAGAAAAAGAAAATTAAAAAATGACATTTTTTTTTCCAGGCTGAAAAGCAACAGAGAAGTAACCCCTGCGCTGAAACT